AAAAAAAAACTATCAAACTCATAAGTAATATGTGTGATTCTAGCAAAAAAAAATAAAAATAAAGAAAAAAACGGTGACGACAATCCAATTACTAATAAGACCTTCAACTATATGATATATACATACATTGATCAAAAAGAAGTCATTTCCATAACATAAGTCTTTTTCATCTTGACCATCTGTCTCACAGCCTCATCCAAAATCTCCCTCTCTTCCTCATCACCATCTAACCCACCACCCCCCACCAACAAATCACAATCACAACCGTCGGATCCCTTCCCTATCACCCCACGATCAAGGGGCTTGATTACGACAAGTGTCGCTCCCTCCAACACCCACCCACATGTCGGCAGCACCATCCTAGGAACATACCACATTTTCATACCCAAATCAGGAATCAAACTCCTCTCCAAAGAAGACTCCAACGCCACGTCGGACGAGTCCCCACTCACCGACTCAGACCTCAACTCAGCGAGTTCCTCTCCCCCAATCAAAACCTTCCCTCGCCTATCCCCATCTGAAACGACAACGTTTGTGAGAGTGGGAAAGTCCGAAACGACACGTTTCAACAAGTAATGCCTCGCCGACGCGGCGATTAGGCATGAAATCATCCACACAATTCGCAGCTTGAGCTCGTCGTCGGACAAAGCATTTTGGTTGTCGTTTTCCTTCGCTAAATTGTCGTTTTTCGCGATCTTCTCTTTTTTCAAAGAATTTGCGCCGAGAATCACGCAGTTTCTCAGATTAGAACCAAACTCTGCTTTCCACTTGAGCAACGAATCTTTTCCCGCGAAACCCATTTCTCCTTTGCAACGAGGAAGCTCCAAATGCAGAGATTTCAATTCGTTGAATCCCTTAAGGACTTCGCACGGCGAATGGTAAAAAACGTTTCGATGGGCGTTTCTGGGTTTTTTTGATACGATTTTGTGGAGAAAACGGAAGAAGCTCCTGACAAGCTTCGCGGGTTTGTTCTTCTGAGGAGGGAGAGGAAGGAAAACGGCGTCGGTTTGAGAGATGAGAGAGTTGAAGCGTTTCGAAACGGGGAGGCATCGTACGAGAGTCTTGGCGTCGAGGATCTTGTTGAAGATGAGGTGGAGAAGAGGATCGGGAAGTTGGTCGAAGTAGTCTCGGCGATGATCTGAAGTGGCGATTTCGTTGTTGCCCAGATGATTTTCTCGGGAGAATTTCATTGGGTTTTGTGTTTGAGAAACGAAGAAAAGATAGGTTTGAAGTTTGAAAAACTCAGAAATGTGCTCGTTTTTTGTTAGAAGATTGAATGGTTTTTTTTGGGTATAAAAGGAGGAGATGTTGGGTACGCGGATTTTGACGCTGGAAGCTGGATTTTGAGACACGTTTTGAAGCAAAGTAAAGCCATTACGAGAGTGGGCTTTTGACTTTGAAAAGAATTCATTAGTGTATAATGCGTATAAAGGAGGTTTCCGACAAGCAACCTTTTGGGTTCTAAGAAGTTGGGCAGGCAGGACTTAAAATTATTAAAGATTAATGAGAAGTACCAAAGTTGTTTACCATTAATATAATTGACTTTTATTAATTTGAGAAAAAA